TTTTAGAGAAACAACCAATAGGTGGTTTACCATAAGATCACTGTACTAGATGCCACAAAGAATTTCCTTCGAATGGGAATCTCCATAACCACTTGAGAAATGACGCCTTGTTTCTTTTAGCTATGTTACAAAACCACACCACTACATTCAATGGCTTAAGTAACTTGCTCCAAGCTAACTTAGGTCATTTTGTTTCAAAATACAACTAGGTTATTAAAGATTATTCTGTTGATATGCAAATTATTTTTTCCAAAAACTTCATACAACTCTGTAATTGATATTTGAGCAAGAAATGAGATTCCTAACCCAATTCCATGTGTAACCCCAGAATCAAAGCGTCAAGACTTTCTGGTTTGCCTTCACTCTTCTTTATGACACAAGAAACTGATCTAAAATATACCCACGTCATACTTCAAATACACATGCCCACGTGTACATCAGCACCATATACACATTTAAAAAAGGGAACTTCATTCCTAACCATCTTTTGTGCTATCTAATATATTGTGTAGAAACAGTGACATGAAGAACAGGCATACCCATGCTTTAATCGAAGCCAAGAAGCAAATGCCTCGAGCACCTGAAACATCCATGAAACCCAAGCAAATAAAAAATCGAGGAACTTCTGTTTGAGTAGGAGGACATAATGTCCAAACTTCAGATATAGGACACAATTCTTATGATTAAAAAACTCCCACCTGCTCCTTCAGCTCGTTAATATTCAAACAAGCAGTCAAGATATTAAGGGTAACTTCCATTTGGGACGTGAGTTCCTTTTCAAATTGACGGCGTCTATCCGGGCGAGCTGCGATCTTGTAATTGTATACTTCCTGATTCAGGGGTGCCAAAGAAACACGGCAAACATGCCATGAAACAAAAACTAACTGACCATTTTGGGGAATATGATATACACACATAAAAGCACCTAAAAGCCCTTCAAACACTTTAATGTATCTTCAGAGAAAGATATTAGATATTCCAGCTGATGCCCTATTAGCTCAAATTTTCTTACAATATTCTAGCATATGGAACCATTTGGTAGCAATAACATAATCTAAAACCACTAATCAATAAAAATAAGGTTTTAATTCGCTATACTCTCTATGAAAATTGATAGCCTTTATGCTACTTATACGTGATGTCTATAAGAAAATTTGAACAATCAAAGGATCAGGCATTTCATTCAGTTAGCTTTCACAATTCATGTAATCACTTGCCCCTATGATATAAATATGCAATAATCCAGCAGAAGTTGTATACTTTCATGGCCATTTCAAGCCAAAAAAATTGAAAATGCCTTTTCTTCCAGCAGGGTGAAATATAGTTAACTTTCATGTAGAAAAGAAATGTTTCCAACGTTCGTCATTTTGAGGATAAGATTTAGTATTACTTCTTCCAAATATAAAGAAAAGATAAACACAGGTTCATACCTCAGGCAAAACTGTCAGTAGCTCCAAAAATCCTGGTACATACTCTGGATGTGAGTTCATCTCATTCCTGAGCCAATTGACAATACCACCTTCTCCCCAATCATCAGCAGAAACATGTACTGCTAATGCAGCCACGGCTATGCTAACCTATGAAACAAAAATTTAACCTGAACCCATCCTTCCAATCAGAGGGGAAAATCAATTGATAATATTAACTTTCAGGAAGAAAATACCTGAGTTCGGACTTTAGGTGGGCCCTTGTGAAATTTTCTCAACAAATTCTGCATATGAGATTAATAGATCACAAATATAGTAGGTTACACTGCATGTTTTAAACAAAAAGCTAAGAAAACTCAAATCTCATTTGACCTTTAATGCCAAAGGGTTATTACTTTCTGCAGGCCCACACCAAAAAGGAAAAAAAAAAAATCTTACTATTCATATCGATGAGGGTCCAAGCCAAAAACGTTACATTGCTAACTTATTTCTAAGAAACGAATTTTACTGGCAAATCACAGAAGTGAAAGGATGTGACTTCCTCCCAAATCCACGTCAAGGAATTATAAGAACACTCCAGGGGGAAACCACACGAATAATAATGTCATATATTTCCCATAACTTCCTATTTATTCAGGGAAATCTTCCTTTTTCTCAGCCCAGATCTCCCACAAGGAGATTTTAACAGTAATAAGATGGAGAACGAAATTAGAAGTCAAATAATTATTTGGTGCCATGATAAATCTCTGTAATTCCAATAGATGTATAATCAGATGTTCGCCAAGAATTAAAAATTTCATATCTAACAGAAAGCAAAGCCACACCTTGAAAAATATTACAGCATTGCACCATATATTTTGCAAATTGTTTTTTACAAAAAAATTCTGTGGGGTTGATTAAGAGCTTAGCTACTTAAAATTTATAATGCCATACTTACATTCAATGAGTCACGCAAGGACCGAAAAGCTTCTGAAGGAAGTTCTTCAAAATCTCTCTGTACCTGGATTAGATAAATAGTGGACTAAAACTCAGAAAAAAATCAACCATTATATGCTGGGAAAAAATCAAACATTATTTGCTGAAACCAACTTTACTTCTTTTTTTTTTTTTTTTTGGATAACGATGAACAACGAACTTTACTTCATTACTGAAGAACACATACATAACTTCAAATAACAAATATTCAATAACGACAGATCAAAGAAAGATACCTTGCTTCTAAGTGTTTGAGAGCAAAAGATCAAAGTTTCCAAATTGCTGGTGGGTTCGTGAAGCAAATTATCAGCAACCTAAAAGAATAAAGACCCTTAACTTTTCTAAATAAATATATGAATAATATTCACAAGGCTGCTGCAAAGGACAGCAAATGTTCACATAGAACGAAGAGTACTTAAAAGCTATGGATATATTCAGGCCAGAACTCCAGTACGACAATTAGAGAATATTCAGATGAATGTTGTATTGAATCTAAGTATCAAATTTGAGGTGAAAGGCACCTAACATAAGTTTGAAGTATTGGAGGATACATAAATGAATATCTATGTCTGTCAAACATGATTCCTTTAAAATGCTGAAATTGAAGAACATTTTGCTTTCAACTGTTACAGCTTAGAAGCACATCTCTTCGACATCTTTAAAAGCAAATGTGAATCTAAAATACACCCTTTACGAGTCAAAGTTAATGGATCTACACTTGAATTGAAACCATACCCAACTATGAACCTGTTCAAATCTAATCTAATTTACTCCTGGAATTGGTCCATGCAACAATTTCGAAGCTTACTGAAAGCAAACAGCAACTGAAGTCTTTCCTACCTCTATCCTCGATAATGTAGGCAGAGACAATAACTTGAATTGGATGCTTGGAAATTACAATTGCTTTACATGTGCTTGTTGCATAAGCTCCAGCAATTGAAATTATAGTGTCCCCAATGGCATATGATCGTTTTAAAATAGTATTTCAACGAATTCATTCGAAAAGTTTTTTTCATCCCATCTCCAAGCGTGAAATCCGTTCTTTTTAAATAATTCCCTTTTCAGAAATCAATCAAAATCTGTATGTGAAACTATCATATACCATATGACAATGGGAGGGGGAAAAGTCCCATTCTTAGGTTTGATGGTGTTATGTTTTCCAACATTCTCCCACGGCCGAATCGAGTCTAGCAGAAATGAGTGAAGAATCTCATAAACAGAACTCACTCCCTGACGCACATGAAGCATTGTTCGGTAACTAGAACTCGCCAAACTCCACTTGTTGATTAGAATTAAGCAAGATACAGACAAAAGAACACCAAACCAATAATCAAAGTTGCAAATCACAAAGTCCCTCAACCACTTTTCCCAATCAAGCAAGTGAAATCTATCTAATACCCAAAAAGCGAAGAAGTGACAGAAACCAATACCTGCCAGGCATCGAGAGTGCGCTGGAAGTCTTGAAGCCATCGATCGGCCTGCATACGGAAGGCATCGTCGGGGTGATGGTACAGTGCGTTTAGGGCTTCTTTTACTGTATTCTGAAGCTCCATGCTTGACCCAGAAACCAGTCGAAATCGCAGCTCGAGCACTTCAAGGAATTTGGCTGTTAATCGTCTTCGTCTCTGTTTGTGTTTGTTTTCCTTTGCTCTCTCTTCTTCCTTCTTTTTGACACACAGACTTTTGTGTTCTTTTTTTTTGGCGCCCGCTGTGGAACTCTACTGAGGAGAGAGGATGGGGATTGGGTACCTGGAAAGGGCCCTTTCGGTTCGATCAGTCTCGGGGTTGAAGGCACAATCTCAGCCGTCCAATCTTTTGTTTGACTTTTAGTCAATGGCTCCACCATTACGTACACGACGAATTCCGTAGAGGATCCCCGCCACGTGGCATCTGACTGGATGAGTTCGTGCGTCGGGACCCACCGTCTTGGAGTTTGATATTGCAATCTCATTTGAATTTATTTACTGCCAAGTTTTAAATCTTTTAAAAAATATCTCATCTTCTTTTTCTTTTTCTAAATTAATGAAATAATTTTTTTCCCCTCTTTTTTACGTTTAAATTTTTAACTTTTAAAAGTTTCGTTAACTGAAATTAAAAAAAATCTAAAAATTTCAAAAAGTTTCATCAACATCTTAAATATTTTTAAAATTTTTAAAATTAAAAATATACACGTGAAGGTATTATCTAAAGATTTTGAAAGTTAAATGATTTTTTATTTTTAAATAAATTAACCATGATTTCCATAAAAAGGGAGTTTATTTATTTATTTACAATTTAATAATATTATTGAAATTGAAAGTTTATGAATAAAACTAGGATGAGATTATGAATATTTTTGTAATTGGGCTCAAACGATGTTGACGAATAAGGAATGTTTGTTGGGAGTCGTATAGATGATGTTATTTTCGTAAAAGATATCTACCCAAGATGAAAAAATATAAATAAATAATTATTAAGATGAAATAAATAAATAATATTAAAAGAATATTTACTACTAACTTTATTAGGAGAATATAACTTTATTTAGAGAATCTGAATTATATTTTATTACAAGCCTTTAAATCATACATAAAAAGGATAATAATCTCAACCTTACACAATCTTTCTATAATTTTGGAAGCATATTGTTGTTGTTTAAATGTTTTGGGATTGGGAGGGTCGGAGTTGGAGAATTTTGGCTTTGATGAGTAAATCTGGGCTCCTACAAGGAAAACCAACAAATTTAGTTGTGAATGGATGTCAAAATTCAGCTGCGTTTGGATTGGCGAATCATCGAAGTCCAGCCGGAGTGGACGTGGGTCGAAGCCCAAAAGCCAGAAGGTGGGCAATTTCTGAAGCCCCAATGATCCGAAACTATAAAGTATCGCCAAGCGCGGCCAATTTGTTGTTTAATCGCCTCGCGCTTTCACCTTTCCAACAAACACTTCTTCCATTATCGTGTTGCTCATCTGGGTCCCCGAAAATGGCGAGTAACGAGAGCATCAAATCAGGAAATGAAGAACAATTGAAGCCCATATTTGAGCAGAAACGGGTTCTTCGATCCAGCGTTCGAAAAGCACTCAAAGCCATGGACCCTTCCCTCAGATCCCATGAAGGTACTGATTGCTTGCTTATCTTCAACGATTTACTTCGCTCTTCTGAAAATATTAATCGGATTCATAGAACAATTGATCGCGTGTCGGTTTGTTATGTCGATGAATCGCCCCTGTTTCATTGGCCCTTTTTACCTGTTTCTCAGACAATGCAATTCAGAGTATCGTTTTGGAGGCCCCGTGGTTTAAATCTAGTCAGAGATTATGTGCTTATGTGAGTTGCAGTGCCTTAAGAGAAGTTGATACGTCGAGACTGTTATCAGAGACTTTGCAACACCCACCAAAAGGTGTGTTCTTAAACTCATTACCCACGTACTGCTCCATTCTTATGAGATATCTAAAGTTTCATGGATCGGTTTGGCAACATTTAATAAAGCCAGTAAAGCTCAATGGAAGTTTTTATATTTTAAGTTTTATGTTAAATAAAAGAAACAAAATTAGTTACCTACTTAACCAATTAGATTAGGAGAAAATGATCGTTATACTATGAACTGGTTCAAAACAGAGTATTTGATATGGTGGATCTGAATGCATAGCATATTATGGAAGTGATATTAAACTATTATTGAGTTATTTCTTGATCTTGATGTTGGATTCATGATAGGAGGTTATGTTTTTGTAGCTAGCATGCTTTTATGCAGCTTTGTGAATGTTTTCATGTTTCTTTTTTATATAAAGATGGTTATCCGAAGAAGATTTATGTCCCGCGTGTGGAGGACAAGAATAGTCATATGCGGATGTTCAATATTTCACGTATGGATGATCTTATTGCAAATTCAATGAATATCTTAGAACCAGCTCCAGTGGATGGTGATGGAAATCAACGTGAAGATGGTAACTAGATACTTCACCCCTTCTCTCTTCTTTCATTTTCTATTATCAGTCAGCTCAATGATTGTACTTGTGGTTTCAATGGTTAATCTATTATCTACTATATATTGCACTGGGATAATGATATACTTATTATGTATAGCACTCAGAATAAATTCTTAAAATTGAACCAATAAAAACTTAAATTCTTAACTAATGCTAGGATGGCTTTGCAAATAACTTTAGACAATTGTTCCTCTACCATCGGGACCCGAAATATTTTTTGTTTATCACCAGCAAAAAGGCAGGCCATTCCTCATTGTCTTGGATCGTCAATAGATCTATTAATTCTTCAACGAAAGCCAGAAATGAACTTTGGTGTTTTGCATTTTGAAAGACTCCATATACCGGCATCCCCTGAAGACTTGTCTCCATTTCCGCAACCTACCACTAGTGCTTTCCTGGATTTTCTATTCTCTTAGTGTTTTTTGATACCAAAAATCCTCAACTTATTTTGTTAAATTCCTTTTACGGCCTTGTTAAGTTTTCATGGAATACATTATTCTACTGATACCAAATAAACCATGTATGTTTTAAGAGAGAAAATAACTGGTCTGACATACATGTTTGCTCAAATAAGGAAGGCGTGCATCATTCTCGACCTTTCAACTGAGTGGTACCATTAATTTTATCTTTGATATAGATGCTAATAGCGGTAGCGAATGTAAATTTTTATGGTGTTTTCCCTCCACTTAGCCACTATTCTGCTTGGGCATATATTATAACAGAACACATATGGTGATAATTGATATTAATCAAACATCATTGTTGTCCATATGATCTCCTTTTTCTTCTTTTTGTTTGTTCTCAACAAAGAAATGATTTGACATAATCCATCTCTGCATCTTGAATGTATCACCGCTGATATATTGATGTTTTGCAGTTATGCAGACAAAAGACCCCATCGATTTACTCCTCTTACCAGGTGAGATATTCATATCTATTTTCTATTGTTTACAGTTTATTTATAGGTTAGAAGGCAACATGATATCACTTTTTAATATGTCGATGATGATTGTTGCCAGGACTAGCATTTGATAAATCAGGAAGACGACTAGGCCGAGGGGGAGGGTATGGATTTGCATTTAACCTTTTTGAGGTTTCTTTCTTCTGGTGTTATTAATGAACTTTTAGCTCATTTGGAGCTGATTTGTGAAGTTAAAGCTAGATACGTAACTCCCTAATTATGATAGTAAAATCACTCCCCTATTTATTTTTTTCTTTGCTTGTTTAGATTTTTGCCCATATTCAATCTGTATGATCTTCTAATCCTATTGCAAATGAATCTTATCCTACAATTGTTATGAAAACAGTTATTATGATACCTTCCTAAAGAACTACCAAGAGCTTGCAAAGGCGCGGAATTGGAAGCAGCCCCTCCTTGGTATGTGTGTAAGCTCTCTACTTTGTTGTAGAACCTCCCTTTAGTTTCCATTTTCAGCTCACCCTGTTTCCCCTGCATCTTCACTCAACTCAATTGGCATGATTTTGCAGTTGCACTGTCCTATTCAGTACAGATAATGGATGAAGGAATTATACCACTCACTCCAAATGATGTCTTAGTCGATGCTCTTGTAACACCATCTGGTGTGATTCCCATCAGCCCAGCTGGATTGGACAAGTAATTTCTTTCATCTGAGAAATCTAAGAATCGTTTGTCATCCCACTTTTTTCTCTGGTTTCTTACCTCCTACTTGTCACGTCTTCGCAGGATGAAGGTATGATACTGAACTCGAAGAATCAACCTCTAATGATGCCATCTTTGACAATCTGGAGCTTGGAATTCTTAAAGCTGTTAAATTATATGTACGACTATTTCAGATAGGCCCATCACGCGGAAGTTATGATTAGCCATTGGAAGAGTAGCTTCCAAATGCGGTATTACTCTGAATAACATGTAATTTTATTGTTTGTATAAGCATGCTTTAGGCAGCATCGAGAAAACCATGGCATATTATTGACAAAAGAAACCCTTTTTTGGTTGTTTTCAAACAAACAGTTGACATTCTGCAAACACTTTCATCATCTGGAATAGAAGGTGTTGCTTGTTATCAGGAAATGAAGGTGCACTTTCTCCTAAGACTCAGTCATTTAAAATAGACATGCCTTTATTGTTTGAACTTCTTCATATTGACTTTAGCCTTAAAGTAAGTACTGCTCTTCACTATCAGCCCGTCAGTTCTTAGCCATTTCCCTGTCTGTTGTTAATGGAGTTAGAATATTGACTTGAGTGTAAGGACTTTTAGGAGGGGTGTTTTGGATCATTTGTGTAATTCTAGAGTAAAAAGGAGCCCATGTTTGATAGTTGGTGAGTAGATTTACTTAGTTCAGATTATGAATGCGTTGATTTCATGTTACATAGTAAGCTTTCATGGCCTTTATAGCTTGAGCCACCTACCGAGTACGAGTAGAAGCCTAATCTTTATAACATATTCTCTGGTACAATCTGAATACATTGTTTTAGAACTCAGAACTTTTCAACTTTAGACTTGGTTATTTGTTAGACATGGTTATTTTAATACTCATTTAAAAAGCGTATTTGTTTTGAATTCCTTTTCGAGATTTACACTCACAATATTTTTTGTTCGGTAAGGTTTTACTTTCGAATAAAACAATTTTTAAATCTTAACCATTTTTTAAGTCAGAAAGACTTTCTTACCACTTGATCATTTCATTAATTTGACTTGTAATTCTATTATATTTTTAAAGAGAGTTTTAATGACACGCATCTTACATGGTCAATAATTATTTGTTGTGCATCTTTCAAAGGAAGATAATTAAATATGTCTAGTGAACAAATGTTAACTATTATTACGTTCATTGAGTGATTGTTTATAAGTTTGTCATGATTATTTTATAGAGCTTTACCCCATATGATTGATTTTTTCCAACTCGTGAGCCAATTGGCTTTGAACCTTGATAGTAACACTGGTGAAATCTAATCACGTTGACCTGGCCCCTGGGGAATCTTCCTGTGCTATTGCTTAAAATATCAGCTCTTTCTTTGTAATCACTTATGTCAAGCTAATGACCATGTTCTGTCATTAAAGAGCGGTTGGGCTGTTGTAATAAAAAAAGGGTTAGGGAAGAAAATTGGTGTCCTTTTTAGGGAAAAACTTGGACAAGGAGGAGTAAAAAAGTTAGGATGTTACCAGGTCAATGCTGAATATGAGACTGAATCAAATCCCAACGCCTATTTCTTTATCCTTGTCCAAACCCAACTAACACTCTGGATTTTTCTGGATTAAGACTCTGTTAATCTTAGTTTTAAGCTTTTATTATTTGTAAGGTCAGCTTGGAAGGCTCCCCAACAGATTATGTCCATATCATTATAATTTTTCCATTGACATATTGCTTGAGAAAGAAGAGTTGAAGGAGACAGGTAATCCAGGAAAAGTATTTAAGAGGTCTCTGTAACGCTCTTAAACTATCTCCATTAGCAAGCTTGAGCTAATTCTCTTTCTGGGACTAAACTGCTTGGCCACCATGATTGCTTTGACAAGCTCACCTTTGAACATGCTTGGTTGCTTCATTATATTGTTGCTTCTTCCTTATCATTCTTTGTCAGCTGATCCTGATCCGTTGCAGGACTTCTGTGTTGCTGATTTAAATGCTACTGTATCTCTTAATGGCTTCCCTTGCAAGCCAGTTGCAGAAGTTACTTCAGATGATTTCTTCTTTGATGGATTGAGCAAAGAGGGCAACACAGACAATCCTTTCGGTTTTGCTGTTGCACAAGGAAATGTTCTTTCATTTCCAGGACTCAATACGCTTGGGATATCCATGAACCGTGTCGACCTTGCTCCTAGAGGAATAAATGCACCTCACTCGCATCCTCGTGCCACCGAAAGCATTGTCGTTATTAAAGGGAAGGTTCTTGTTGGGTTTGTGTCGACAAGTAATGTGTACTTTTACAAGGTTTTGACTGTAGGGCAGATGTTTGTCATTCCCAGAGGACTTATTCATTTCCAGTATAATGTTGGACATAGCAAAGCAATTCTGCTCACAGCTTTCAACAGTCAGTTGCCCGGGGCTGTGATCGTCTCTCGAACTTTATTCGCTTCAAATCCTCCGATTCCCAATCAAATTCTGACCAAGACCTTCCGAGTCGATGATGATGTTATCAACAGCATAAAGTCCAAGTTTGCTTAGTTTCATTCTCAATTAGCCCACTTATCTACTGGTTGCGTTCATTTCTTCCTTGCCATTAGTAATCTCAGTCACATTCCTATATAGTGAATGACCTTTACTGCTTAGAAGGCAGTCATGTGATAATAATTTATGTAGTTCATTTGTTACTGATACTTTCCCTTCTGTCCCATAAAGTGTCGAAGATGATATAACAAAGTGTATCATATCATTACACTTCAAATAATCAGAAAGAACACAGCCTTAGATTCATCAAGTCCATTCATGGAAGCAGCAAACTTCGTAGTTTGATTAAAAGAAAACACACTCGAAAACCACTCTGATCACAGCGTTACGGTTAAACAGAACTTCCTAATTTTTGAAACAATCAACTCTGAATTTGAAGAACGCAGTAAAGGAAGCTTAGAATGTTGAGTTCAAATTACTACTCAGTAAGATACAAATTGGAAGTAGGTTCAGTTTCTGCAGAGGATACAAGTATTTGATACCAAATGATCAAACATATATAATAGACCTACTGTGAACTAAATGAGGAAGCCAAAATAATTTTGACCTTTGGTTATAAGAAGATGCCTATTAAGTTCTAAGATGTTCTTTCAAAACTTCCACCGATCTGCATATGCAACCATTCAGGTTGTGCACCTTGGCTATATTCTCTTGCTGTTTGTGAACCATATAATATTCCAGCTGCTGCATCATATGGTTGATTAACAATCTGAAATGTCAGATGAGATAGTTAGCATATGCGAATCTCCCTTCTTTTCTTTCCCCCTCGTTAAAGAGTTCCAGTGGTCTTTGAATATTACTTACATTTTTTGCTGTAAAACCTTCAATGCCAGGGCTTATGTTCATCCTGGAATTCACAGTTTCAAGCTTCATGGAGAGGAACTACAAGTTTGAGCAAAATATCCAAAGCTCAGATTGAATCAGATTTTTTTTGAAACAAGCTTAACCAATCGATTTGAATAAGTACCTCGACCTGACGTTGCAATGATTGGATATAATTTATTATCTCATCAAGGACAAGTGCTTTTCCAATGACCTAATACATGCATATGCAAGGGAAAAACAAATGAAATGTTATAATTTGAACTTGATTTTCAAAATGATTGCAACCAAACTCAAGATTCATATATCCAACTCTAAGAACTAGAAAGAAAACAGAAAATTTCACCACCTTAATTAACTTTGCCCTTTTTCATGGGGTAAGATTAATGAAACTTCATAGATAGGGAGGTTTGTTCTAGTGTTATTCTCCTAATCTTCACAGACCACTCCAATTGAAAACTCTCTCCAAGGACTTCTTTCGGTGGCTTTCTTTATCTCATGTTGTTGTTCTCATTTCTTTCCTTCTCTTCAACTCCCAACCTCTCTGCTTTCTCCTCTTCTTACAGAGTTTCTCTCTCTGACTTCACAGTTATAGAAAGAACCAAGTATGGTAATATATTTGAAGGAAAGCTAATTGATATAATGGAGAGGGCCATGTTGCAACTATAGTTCATGTTTGGGAGTAAAATTGACCAATCCCTTCACTCTGTCTTCTACATCTCCGATCTATTAAATTTAGCAATTTTTTACCCTTTTCTGTTTAAGAGCTGGACACTGAGAGAGGACCTGAAAAGAGAAGAGAAAGAGAAGTCCTCTTCTCACACAAGCTCCTCTGTGACAGTACTAAGAGGAGATATGTTGGGAATATAAGTAGGTTATTAGTAAGGATATAGTGGCAATTAGTTAGGGGTGCGTTGATTATATAAAGCGTATTAGGGACCTTAGAGGGGTGGATTTTTGTGAGATCCCACATCGGTTAGAGAGGGGAACGAAACATTCCTTATAAAGGTGTGGAAACCTCTCCCTAGTAGACGCATTTCGAGAACCTTGAGGGGAAACCCGAAAGAAAGAGCCCAAAGAGGACAGTATCTGTCAGCGGTGGGCTATAAATGGCAGAGCCAGTTACCGAGCGGTGTGCCAGCGAGGATGCTGGCCCCCAAGGGAGGTGGATTGTGAGATTCGGAGAGGGGAACAAAGCATTCCTTCTAAGGGTATGAAAACCTCTCCATAGTAGACGCGTTTTAAAATCCTTGAGGGAAAGCTCGAAAGGAAAAGCTTAAAAGGACAATATCCGCTAGCCCGGTTTGGGCTGTTACCATTTTTTTTTAGTGGAATAGTTCATAGTGGGATTTGGGAGAGCGATAACCCTCTCGAAAGGCTATTGTTATATTGTAGTTTCTATATATTAGTTTCTTGTGTTTTATGTGTTTTTGGTACCTAACATCCACCAACACCAATAATCTTCCAGGTGTTAAACAGTCAAAGTAGCAATAACTACATTGCAGTAATACGTTTGGCTTTAAAATTGACCAAAGTGAAAAGTTTGAAAATCAAATTGTACCTACTCTTACAGTACAGGGTTGTTTTTACAATTTCAGCCGAATCATTGCTTGCAGACAAAATAAGAGATAAAACGTACCTTGTTACAACCTGGAACCAAGTCCTGCAACATTTTCATTCTCTCACTGATCTTCTCTCTTCTTGCCTGCACAAACGGGATAGTAAGACAAACAGGAAGAAATTTGGGCGAAAGGGAAAATGGATAGATAAGCTTTCCAAATATCCACCAGAAACTTGAAGCTGCTAGTCAGACTGCTAATAACTGTCTGATAAATGATTGAGATATTCAAATCCCCAATAACTGAGAAAAGTACATTACTCTTTCTGCTAAACTATGGCTATCAGTAGCTTGGCCCCTTCTCGCTCTCACATGGATGTAATCTTTTGGTGGTTCAGAAGGTTTCGGGCTTTGCTCAGCCGCCTTCTTACCATCTCCTGAGCTAGATTCCACTTCAGCTTTTATATCACCATTTTCATCCCTGGATTCCACTACTTTCATCCGTTTACCCTTTGAGTTATTCTGTAGGAAATTGAAAGTACAGAAATCATGAAAAAGTGCTTTAATGTAGTTAGCCAGAGTCAAAATATATGGTCGGCCGTCCAAGATTTAGATATCTAGATGCATCACTGGGCAAGTTTCTTGATAATCTTTGCACAGAGCAACAATAGGAATGGTTTAGAAAGATTATGAGTTGTTTCCTATTCCTTGGAACCTCCTCCCCTTCAAAATAGGAAAGGAAATGAGTTTCACCTTTCAAAGGTGAAAATACACTGTACAAATTTGAGTGATGTCATTTTTGCCTAAGGAGACCAAAACTGAGTCAACGTAGCCAGATTGGGAGCCAAGAAGTACAGAAATCAAAGCACTAACCAATTGATTCGCACTACTAGTGGAAACCATTCTGGAAGATTCATCCTCGGAGCTCACATCCTTCCTCTTCCTCCCACCGCCACTCTGCTCCGTCACTGTGGATTCCTCCATTGATCCATCGCGATTCGTGGAGCTCTCTGGGAAGCCACCAAGAATCTGACCCAAATTAGCCATTCGAAGTCCCAATGTGCTCCCACCCTGCTCCCCCCCGAAAGGCCAAATCGCGGCCAAGCTGTAAGCAGAAGGATTGGCAGCGGAGAAGGAAGATTCATTGACGAGTGGAGGATCCATTTCCAGCGACCCGAATAACCCACCGGCAGGAAATTGGGAAAATCCGATGTCAATGTGGAACCCCAGACAATGGAAGCGAAGAGCTTTAGGCTATGTATTCCGAGTTACCGAATTTGAGTGGAGTGTAGGTGGCGGAGAGCTTATTTATGGAGTAGTTTGTGGTCACCCACATCATTGGCCTCACCGGTAACAATAGCCGTCAATATTTAGGTTTGGCTAGTTAATTTTGATATTTTCATTACTTTTTAAATTTTTTTTTAATTTTTTTATTTTTACAAATTAAAGAATATAACACATAAGATTCTGTTGAGTTGAAGTCATCTCAGGAGTTAACTTGATTTTCAAAATAGTGATCTATCTTTAATCTAATTAATAAATAAGATGGGTCGAGACAGGTGGGCCAAACTTTGATTTTGAGTTGAGCTTGGATCGAGTTTAGGTTAATATTGAAAATCTATACACTGAAATTGTAATATATGGCTTATTTGAATGAGTGTTGCAAGGACAAGACGTTTGTCCTCCTTATAAACGTGTCGAGGTAGCTTTCAAAGTCGAGAAATATCGATAAATTTGCCTAACTATATCTAAAATGAAATTGGAGGGTGCAAAGTTAGGAGGGAAGGGGCACTGTCAAAGCCTAACTTGGTTGGCACAAAAAAGAGCTTTGAGGCACACTAAGTAATTGATACTCATAAAGGGTCTTTTCATCTTTCCTTGCTTGGTTTCTTACCCCACTTCCCTTTCTCAGCTTCATTGCCCTCTCTTTTCCTCTTGAGGGTGACCACTCCCTCTCTTTTTCTTCCTATAACCTTATTTTTTACGGCTTAAAAACTCGTCCTCCTACTCTATCGGTAATATTTTCCTATAAATTTAGATCGCTAGGTTTAATAAATATAACAAATATAAATCGACCCAAATCATCATTCTTTAATCAAACATACTAGTATGAGATATGTTGTTGCCAAAATTATGTTTGAAGAGGGAAAAACGTGACCTTTAAAACAAAAGAGATTCGTACGAACAGTGCCACACTAGCTCTAATGCTTAAGTTAAGATTTTATGAATGAGGAAGGACTTGTTACTTTTTATCATCTTGAATTAGGAGTTTTTGTCAATTTCTTATCGAATTAGGTCAAAAGAGGAATGGATCGAGCCAAACTAAGATCACGTAAGTTAGGATTGCGTGTGACATGTGCCCTCTTCAAGTTCGGTCTTGACCTTTTTGGGAGGTCGTCCACAAGGTCAGCCCTCATCCTCTTACCAAGGCTAACCAATGGACGTCAACCCAATTTCTTGTTTTTTTATTATTTCAAATTTAGTCTTTGTTCGTAAAGTTTTTGTACCAATGGAGACGGTAATCATAATCTTATATTCATCTCCATAATTTTATCGAAATTCACTAAACATACCTTAGAGAGTTAAATAATTTTTAACCCGACTTTGGTTAAATTAAATATCTTTAAGTTAATGTTTAGGTAAAAGTTGTCAAATAAAGCTAAGATGACATCATTCCAAATGGAACAAGATAATAATAATGTACTTTAAATTTTAGACCAAAGTCAGAAAGTTAGTTTTGCACTTGTTTTCCATTTAGAAACTTCCAATTTCATGTAACAAAAAAATGCAAGCTTTTGATTGGTTAGTTATCTTTCTCCATCAAACCTAAGTTAAGTTGTCTGCTACTTCTCACTCCAAGCACCAACCAGGCTATCTGGGCCGGGTTGAAACATCCAGGCCCAAAACCGTAGTTGGGCCCACATTGACATTGGAATTGGGCTGAAGTTCAGTAGTAACTGTACGGCCTCAAGCCCAGCCCAATTGCACGGATTAAGGGGAGAATAGTTAGAGGGTACCGTAGAGACCAGCTCTGGGAATAGGCACTGTCAAAACTCATTAAGTAGGGTCACTGTCTTGGTTGTTGGTATCCATTTTGTTTGGGCTGAGCTATAATGTGCACATCTTGTGTCGCAGAGGATATAAATCCAAACCCCAAAAGTGAACGATGTGGGTCATCGCCTCTGCAATCATTATCATCTGGAAATGCAGTTAACCCCCTGTAGATGACCGTTCTCACGGGGATAGGACCCGCGGGGAAGCCATGAACTTCAATTCCCAGTTGGCTTACGAACAGATATGGAGGTTTCAGACCCACACAAGCTCTCGATTATGAACATCAATGGCGAAATTGTAACTAAACAAAAGAAGATGATATGAAGATTGTTGGAACAAAGCGTGGTCAGTGATTCAGTATTATTTCTAATTGGCTCTTAGTACAGTGGTTTTGAAGAGCAGAATGTAAAGCTTTTGAGCCAGGGAAAAATACAGGAATCCACCCACTGAATGTGTCACAAATGATCCAAAACTTTTCCCCACAATACAGTGCCATGCCGGCCCGTATGACCCATCGAATTCCTGCAAAAACCAGCCAACCCAAATCACCATTTTGAACTAACAAACAAACTCATGATCCAATTCAGAGAAACAAAGAACAGAAGTTTAGATAGATAAACTAATCGATTTCTATCTACCTGTTTGAGACTCAACGCCAGCGATTTGGAAGTGAAGTTTTGCATACTGTCGTGGGCCTTTCTAGCGCAATCGACGGCGTGGATCTGCATAAATGGCGGCATATCGGCGGAAACCACTTTGACCCCATTGTTGGCGAACAACTCTGCTAGCTGAATCTGTGAGCCACAGATTGATTTTCTTCTTCCACTCCGTGAAGAAGACAGAGAAACAGAGAGCCTGCGAGTGAGATGTTGGTGGTCTACTAGGAGCTGTTTCATTTCCCTTTCTTTGGTGGTGATACAGTTGATCATGCGTTCGAATTTCTCTTCAGAATCATTGAATTTCTCAGTGGTGGAGTGCTGGCGAGGGGTTTCGTTGGGTTTTTTGGCTAGTTTATGGACTGTTCTGGGGCCGACCATTTTGGGGTTGGAGTGAAGAGATACAGGAACGACTTTTGGAGAAGGTGGGTGTGATTTTGACAAGTTGTCTGAGTCGGATAAAGGGGTTGTGGGATCTAGTTTTGGTGATGTTGGGTGTGGAGAGACAGCGGTGGCGGCGGCGGGGGTGGTGGGTTGGGTTCTACGGTGGAGATCCATTTTAGACGGAGGTGATAAGAGGCGCTGGAGTGAAGTTTGATGGGAAGCCATGGATTTGTGAGATATGATGGAGGTGGGTGGGTGTGTTGTCATGTGGGTTACATATGGACTGCTGATGGTCAATCTAACTTGCTTCTACGTACAGACACAGGCCTTTGACCACTTACTTTATTTGTTGTTTCAGTACTCTTTTCCAGTCTCGGTTTCGAATCTCTATCGCTTCAATATTCCTATTTTTAACCCACTTAATAAATTTACAAGGGAGGCAACACCGTTTGAGATGGCATGTTTAAGATAAAAGACCTGTGAGATCTCGTATAAAAGGACTCATCTTCAAGGTTTTGAAAATGTGTCTCTTAGAGAGAAGGGCGGGCTTGACTTGTTGTCATAAATGGTGTTAAAGCTAGACATCAGACGGTGTGCCAACAAGGATGCTGAGCTCCGAAGAGAGGGAGGTGGATTGTGAGATCTCATATCGGTTGAGGAGGAGAACAAAACAATATTTATAAGGGTGTGAAACCTTTTCGTAGTAGATGGAAAGCCAGAAAGAAAAAGCCCAAAGAGGACAACGGTGTGCCAACAAGGATGCTGAGCTCCTAAGAGAGGGAGGTGGATTGTGAGATCTCATATCGGTTGAGGAGGAGAACAAAACAATATTTATAAGGGTGTGAAACCTTTTCGTAGTAGATGGAAAGCCAGAAAGGAAAAGCCCAAAGAGGACAATATCTGCCGCCATATTATGAAAAATTTCAAATCTTAAAATAAATGGCTAAGCTTCAATCAAAACTGCAACATGAACAAGTATGGTTGAGACAAAGGTCATACAGTCCTACTGAAATTCCTAATGTATACAAAGTTAACTCGTTTATCTCTTTTCCAGTTTTGCACAACTGATATACTGAACAAGAACACAAGAACATTGGTAGGACGACACTAAGAGTTATCCCAAATATCAACATGCAGCTGGGTACAATCATCAAACCTAATTTTCACAAGACTATAGCTATACATCATGAAACTAGTCTTAGAACTCACTTTGCTCTGCTGAACCAGGAAGTTGAGAATCACAACGAACTCATCAATGCAAATTACAGAGGCGACCTCTAATTCCATGGGCTAGGCTGCCGAGCATCTCTGAGAACTGAGGTGCCCCCAGATGCTGCAGGAGAAGGTGAGGATGCAATGTAATTGGTTCCAGATACAGACACTGTGGGCATGTTTGGGGGAAGCCCTGATTGCCCAGTCGGAGGAAGGCACGATGGACTCCCAGATACGCTAAAATTTCCTCGGGATGGATGTGAGCTCTGCACATGTAATGTTATGTTATCTTCGTCTCACTCACTTCACTAGTAAAATGATAAAAACAGATGCATGTATGCCTGATTTTAACATCAGACATAAACAAAAGGAAATGGTACAATTTAAAATTCTGATACATTTTCTTACATCCATGTTGACTACATACACAATCCACTAAAGAACCACCAAGAACTCTGAAAACTGATACTTTTATGCAATTTTGATAGGAAAACGAAAGAAGTTCCACAGACAAGCAATCACAATGAATTCTCAAGGCACTATTGAATGTTATTGATGTATCCCTAATCATCCAAATAAAGTAAACATAACAAGTATAGTGCTCACAAACTCATATAAAACTCAACTAAATTCACACAAGTCATGTGACAGCAATTACCATATATGATTGGATGTGAGCAGGCCTTCTAAGAGGAGACTCTGAAGAAGGTGACATGCTGCTATTCTGAAGCATCTGACGAGAAAGAACATTATGGTTCAAAAGGTCATCAGCTTCTCCACCTTCAGTATCTCCACTAGCATTCACTTCAGAGCCTACTCTAGGAGCAAGCTGCCTGGTCATTGATCCTGTATCGGCCGAGGCATCCACTTGAAGGGAAGCCGAAGGGCGAATTGCTGTCCCTTGCACACTACTACGCCTTTTTAATTCTTCTTCCACATGCAAGATCTGCCAACCAACACCAAGAACATGATCTAGTTCACTTCCCAATCCCATAGGAACGTATGGGGTTTTATTTTGGAGCAGAAGGGCAGGGGCAAGAGCGAGGAGGTAAGGTGAAAGGATCAGGAATATACCTGTTTTAACACTTGCACAAGATTATGCTTCTTTTCATTCAAAACGTTTAACTTCTCCTCGACTTCCCTTTTCCTGTTCTCCTTGTCATCCAACAAATCTTCCTCCTTGTTTGTCTAGCACAGTAATACATACTAATGAAGAATGCAAAAAGAAAGAAATGCTGAAGAGAAAAAAGAGAAGGAAAAGAAAAATCCGAGTGCTTTGTTGAGGCTTGAGATCCATATCGACAACAAGCTTGAAAGTTCTTCCTTCAATGCCACCGTTAAAGACAACAAGAACTCTTTTTAAGTATGCCACAATCTTTATTTTACTTCAATTGTTCTTATCATTCTTCTATCAACAAGAAAGAAGGCTCTAAAAAATTTACAACCTTAGCATACAATTTGCATTAGTTATCTCAAAACATTCCTAAATTTCTGAAAGCCTCGTTAAGTAATCATCCTTCATTTTCCAATTCTGAAGAATAAGTTAACAACTGTGGATGTTACAGAAATAACTCTCCAAGTAAACATTTTGTTGAACCTAATCACAACCGCACCTAAATTCAGAAAGAACCAAATAAACTTTCTCAACCGGCCATTAAATTGGAATAGGTTAGATCAATGGGATTTCAAAACACAGAACATATACAAAATGAAATAGCAACAAAAAAGAAAAAAAAAATGAAAATCTAAAGAGTTGGTCATAATCAATACCTCTTTGTTAGGGTTTTCTAATACAGCAGGATTTTCATCTTTTGCCTGCGCACCACCATTTTCCACTGGATCAGAACCTTGCTCGTTAAAACAAGGTTTCGAGCCATTCACAGAATCAAACCCATCAGCCGATTTTGCCATACAGTCATCACCATTGTCCGACTTCTTCCTCTCCTTGACATCCGCAGTAGGTCTTTCACCGCCAACACTAACCCTTTCAGTTTCCAATGGAACCTCAGGCGCAGACCCGTTAGTTCTGGGTCCTTCACCGTCAGGTTTAATTGAAGAATTGGAATTAAGATTAGGGTCAGGGGAAGTAGAAACTTTGGCCGGCGAAGAAGAGGTGGTGGAGAGGAGACGAGAGAGGGCTTTCGAACGACGCTGCAAAAGGGATTTGAAGTCTCTAACAGAGATGTTGTGGGTGGGCATAAGCCACCGACGAGGAACATCGGGGACCCTGTGGAGGTTCCCTCTGTAAAGGGAAATGGCCACCATGGATTCTTCTCGAGCCGTGCTGCTCGGCGTCGGATCCCGTTTGCGACCTCCCTCCGATTTCATAAATTTACAAATTTTCACTAAGCCAAAGTCATAAATAAGCGAAACCCTTTTATCCCAAAAAGAAAGAACTAAAGAAAAGTGTCCCTATGGCAGCGACTCGACCACCAACTCATTTATTTTAATTTTTAAAACTTATTTTCAAATAGTTAAAATTATTTTTGTTGAATTAAAATTAATTTAAAATATTTTTAATTATTCAAAATTTATAAGATCTCATCCCCTTCAGGACTTGGCGTCCTTACTAACACACCACCGCCCGGTGTCTACCCCCTCCCTTTGAGGTTTAACGTCTTCTTTGACACACCGCTCGATGTCCACTCTTCGTCGAGGCTTAGTGTCCTAGCTAGCACACCACGTAATCATACGCATACAAGAAAAGAAAAGTGGAAAAGTGGAGGGATGATGAGAATTAAGGTAATGATTTGAGGGAGGATGGGCGCATGAACAATATGTGTAGCAGAATAGATAAGAGGTTATACATCTAAAAGCCAACTCTTTGGGTTACAATATCAGTGAAAAGGTTATTGTACAGGGATGGGTAAAACTATAGAAACACCAAACAAATTCGCCTTCCCCATCTATTGTTGGGTTTTCATTCAATGTGGACATTACTAAAAAATGGCCTCCCTAATCTATCGACTCATCGTCCTCATCATCATCATCATCATTCTTTACGCGACTGCTTGATTTAGCCTGGGGAACAACTCCGACGCTAATATCTTCTGCAGCCTTACCACAAAATTTATAGTTTACTATCTTACACTCAAATTCGACGACGGGGGAAAACTATAGCGGTTGCTATTAACCAAGCAAAATGAACGATACTAGGACTCATCCGAATCATCTTTCATGTCTGTGGTCGGGGCATCGTCGAAACCAGAGCCTGGAGCAAGTTCATTTAGATCAAGAAACTGTGTTTTTCTGGCGTCATCGGTTTCATCTTGATCTGGGCCATTCGATTTTTCGGGAGGAGGATTTTGCTCCTCTACGTTCTCCGCATAATCTTCTTCATCAGGTTGATCAACTTTCATTTCTTGGTCCTTCTCTTCTTCTTCGTCGTCCTCCTCGTTATCAGACCCTCCTCGACTTTCAACCGAATAATCCCCGTTCTCACTAGCATCAGTGTGCTCATCTGATGCACTAGTCTTTTTATCATTGTTATTCTCTGGTTCAGATTCTGAAAGATCGTACTGCCCATAATTTATTTTGCTTCGAGTAGCCCTTTTACTACGTCTCAGACCTGATTGAATCTCACCAACAGACCGTAGCTTCGTTCCCCTCCGCGTACGTCCTCGCGTTCTTTTTACTTTTCGTGGCCGGTCGCTGTCATCACTAATGCTAAAGGATTCTTCTTCCTCTTCCTCCTCCTCTTCCTCGTTATCTTCTTCATAGTGATACTCCTCGTCTCCTTCGGAACTGCTGGATGTTTTCCTCCTCTGCTTGCGTTTTCGTAGATACTCCTCATCATACACAGCTTCACCAACTATGTCATCGTCACTGTCGAAGTCTGCATCGTTATCTGACAACGCTTCCACATAATCCTTTTCTGAATACCGTTGTGGCCTTTGTCTCCGTCTATTGCTAAATGTTCGATCAACAAATAAGAACCTGAAAATACTTGAAGGTAAGAGAAACACAAAGGTCACGTTTTCTATACCTGCGATCCAACTGTTCGGACATATGGTCTTCATCGGCATCGTCGTAATCAGGTGACTTGGGAGATAGTGCACTGAAATTGGAGTTTTGAGATGCATACGACGGACCGCTCCATTTTCCATTCGCAGAAGGTTCAAGCTTTACAACATCTTCTTTTCTATCATTAGGTTCTGGGGATGGCGCCTTACGCCTGAGATAAGAGTAAGCGTAAGGTAATGCAAGATAAAGATATTATACATGGCCTAGAAAGAAGATCATGTAGATACTAGATTCATACTTGGTCGTCTTGATAGCCTCGTTGATCGATCGGTCATAATCATCTGCAAGATGATTTTAACATTCAATTGTAATGCAAATGTTAATCGTTTCGACGAGAGATTGCAGAATTACTTATTGATATGAGGTGGAGGTTTCAAATCTATGACA